TGTTGGAGGTATCTCTACACTCAAGACGTTCGCCACAACTGATTTCTACAACAGCGTATTAGGGCCATTTTGCAGATGAAAAAAGGAGTAAATTTTGGCCAAAAACCTCAGAAATTTTGAGATTTCAGAAATTTTCAATAAAAAAGGAATTTTATGAGCTCCAAAAGTTGGAAATTTGGGATAAAAAAATATTTCTACGTAAGAGAATGTACTCTTTTTTCCTCTTGAAAATTTCTAAAATTAACATCAGAAATTTTCAAGAGGTAAAAAGAGAAAATTCTCTTAAAAGTTGTAAATTTGCGAGAAAAAAATTAAATATTTCATGTTAAAGACAGAAAATTTCAATATTGAAACCAAATATTTTCTCACATTGTAATTTCAGAAATTTATATAAAAGCACTAATTTATGATAAAAATATCTTGGAAGTTTTCACGAATGGCTGAACGGCTATTTCTCCTGTTTTTTGTCACAATTTTTTGACTTTTGGAGCTCAGAGAATTTCCTTGTTTTTTTTCTCGAAAATGTTTGAAATTAATCTCAAAATTTGTCCTCAAAATAGTTTTTTGGCAAATATTTGCTCTTTTTTTTGTTCATCTGCAAAGTGGTAATTCTCAATTGTAGATTTGAAATTGTTCTAATTCACCTGTTTTAAGAAATTTTGTGCTAATTTTATTTTTTCCTGTGATCACAGCTAAGGATGATCCAAAATGAATGCTTGTCACAATTTAAAGCTTGACACTAAAGCCATCGTTACAAAGAGCTATATTTCAACAATTTTTTCAAAAACTAAACTAAAAATTAATATAGTAATAGCTAAAACAATCTTTACCAAATTTGAATCAAAAATTCAGTTTAAAAGTTGAGCTTTGGCTTTTATTATTGTATTGTTTTTGTTTTTGATGTTACTAGTTTAATTTATGTATTTTGTTGTGCATTACAAATAAATGCATTATTATTATTATTTTTAAAAATTCAAGCTCACCACAGTTAACTTTAAATGTCTATAATTCAGCTATTTTAAGATTATTAAAGCTCAAATTTCTTGTGGTGTAGTTAAAAATGATCCCAACCACACACTGATTGCTAATCCCAATTTAACCCAATTGTAATGCTAATTTTACAAAAAGCTTTTATCTACCCCTTTTTAAACAAACACAGATGAAAATATTCATATTAGTAGCTAAGAAAAATTTATTTATTTATTTATTTATTTATTTATTTATTTATTTTGTTTAGGCAAGTAACCTCATTGGGGCATGTCGTCTCATTTGACAAAATCTGAATGCAAACACAAGATGGCCACAGAAGTTAAATTTGAATGGCTACCCCGACCACCCCTCTTTTTCAGAGGGGCAACATTGCCCAGTGATGAATGTTTGGCAAAAAACATACAAACAAATCAAGCTTTTAAAGAAAAGAGGTCAGAAAACATGTTTGAGTAACATGAGTTGTCACATGACACACAGTGGCAGGAAATAAAACCAAACTAAATATTCTGCAAAACGAAACCAAGAGGAAGAAATACTACCCAGGATGATGATCAACTGGTATATTTCAACATAAAAGCTTCACAAATCATAACAAGATTGATTTATTTTCTTTACCTTGTTTTTGTGTTGTATTAATTCTACCTTCTGTCTTTAATTTTTTCATTAGTTCATTGTAACTGGGATTATGTCCATTTTGGCCGGCCGGTTCCCGTCTTCATGCTTAGTGAGTAAAACCATTTTTATTAAAACAAATCACATGACTCATGTGGAATCACGTGGAAACTGGATGGACTGTAGTTTTTCTCTCTTTGATTGGACTGAATCTTTGACCTCAGATGGGCTTCACTGTGTTCATGAACATTGTTGGAGCCATCTTCTCCATCACCAGCATCGTGCTGTGTGTCATCGACCTGGGAGACGCTGAACTGCTCTGGATATGTGAGCGTCTGCCGTACGACGCTCAGCATCACGACGACAGCTGCAGAAACGTGGCTCTGTTTGACCAGGTGAGCAGTACAGACTCTGCTCTCAGTTACAAACAGAAAAATATATTAAAATGATTAATTGTTCTGTTGCTTCCATTAGAATCTGCTGACAACCATGGATAAAACTTTGATCCTCCTGGCTCTTCTTCTGCTGGTCGCCAGCGTTCGTTTTGTTGTTTTGGGCATCAGATTTCTGATCGGTGAGGTGAAGACCAGAGAGGTTTGGAGCCCCATCATGATGCTCACATCTGCATAAAGCATGCAGAACTGGATGTTCAATTTATATGTGTAATAAACATTATTATAGCATTAAAAGCTGTATGTTACTGAGTTCACCTTATAATGTTTTTTATGTCACAGGACAAAATGTGAAAAATTAAACCTCAATTTAACATCTCATCATCATTTATTTAACAAAAAATACATAGTGTTTGCAGTTAGTAAATGTTGATTTTATTTTTGATAGTCTGATGACATATGGTGTTTAAATCTTTTATAAATTTTAGTTTTCAACTCTTTGGAACATTTATCCATTTATGACAAGACAGTTTTTTTTATTTTGGAAATTAAAATATTGATCTTGTTTTAAAAAGTCACTGTCATCTTTCACAGCTATTAAATATTGAAGTAATAAAAAAAAACTTCCTCCTCATTTCTTTTTTTCCATCTGAGAGAGCCTCTAAAATACTGTCATTTTATAAAACTCTTTCCTGTCAGGTAAGATCTCTGCTGTAAAAATAAAAACCTTTGTGATATTTTTATACTTTATATTTGTTAGACTTTTTTCTGTTTGAGCTCAGAACTGGGAAAGAATGTGGAAGATAATTTAAATAATATTGCAGAAAAACATCTGTTTCTGATAACTCTGAGGTTTTTGTTTGTGTGCTTTTATTTTGAAGAAATGTTTTTTAAAGGAAGTTCTGTTGGTAATAATTTGTTGCTGTCACCTGAACTCCATCCATCCATCCATTTTCTGTACACGCTTCTTCCTTTTCAGGGTCGCGTGGGTCACTGGTGCCCATATCCAGCAGTCACAGTGCGAGGGGCGGGGTACACCCTGGACAGGTCGCAAGTCCAACACAGGGCCACACATAGAGACAAACGAGACAAACAACCATTCACTCTCTCACTCACACCTAGGGACAATTTAGAGTTATCAATTAACCTAACAGTCATGTTTTTGGTCTGTGGGAGGAAGCCGGAGTACCCGGAGAGAACCCACACATGCACGGAGAGAACATGCAAACTCTGCCCAGAAAGGTCCCCGGACCGGGATTTGAACCGGTGACCTTCTTGCTGAGAGGCATCAGCTCTATCAACTGAGCCACCGTGCCACCGTCACCTGAACTCGTCCCAGTCAAACTTCAGGTGACCTGTCAGGTAAGTTCTCTGCAGTAAAGACAAATAAAAATCACAAAGTTGTGATTATTTATCGTTTTTATTTGTTGGATGTTTTGTGTTTTCTGCTGTTTTCTTGTTCTCTTCCCTGCCCGTAAAGAAAAAGTAAAATGATCTATTTATAAAGATATCTTTTTAAAAACATTTTTGAAAATAATTGTGAGTGTTTATTACATGTTGTTGATCAGAACTGTCACATTTCAGAACATTGTTCCTTTTTTTTTTAAAATAGGATTCATTGTTTAGGCTATTTTAAAATAAGGAAGAAAGTAAAATGTGTTTCGTGAAGTCCAACCCCTTCCTACTGACAAAACCTGTTCCTGAATCTCAAACCTGAAAATCATCCATTGTTAGCTTCCAGTGAACAACTTCAGGATAATGAAATTGTACCTGTGAACATTTATTGTTTTTAACTAGAAAAATACTCATGAAATATCCACCAACGTTTGGAATTTTTAAATTTAATGTAAAATGGTGGGAGTTCACAAATAAAAGCAAGTCTTCTTTCTTTCTTTATTTTTATTTTAATTTTTTCTGTTTTTGGTTCACAGATGACAAAACCATCGAATGTTTGAGTTTTTTAAAAGCTGTTCATATTCTTTAAACCTAAAACTTTTGTATAAATATGATACTTATCGTATATCTGGCAAACCCCGCCCCTTTATTTAAACACAAAATATTTTAAAGAAAAATAAATAAACTTCAGACCATTTTTCTCACGTGTTGAATGTTTTAGTTGACGTAGCAATAACCTTCTTGCTGTATGTTTAAGTCTGAATTTTTATAACATATAGTTATGTAGAAAAGTAAAATGTTACACTGTGATTGACAGCCTGTTAGTAAGTTTAGACGGTGTGAAGGTGGGATTTTAAGTGTTGAGGGCCACTTTTGTTTCCGGCTCTAAAAAAATCCATCATGGCCGCTTTTTAAATCAAACCTTTTGATTCCTCTTTCTAAATGTTTTGGACCCACCTCTGGACTGGTCCAGGTTCAGGGCACAGTTTGGGTTCTGGATCTTCTGAACACTTGGAGGTTTGATAGAATCTAACCAACTGAAATGTTTACACACTTTCTGCTGTCTGCCTCCAGGAGCTGGAAGGATGTCTGTGATTGTGAGCAGAGCTGATGGGGTCGTTGTGTTGACGGTGATCTCTGACACCAACAGTCGTTGGCCTCCTCTGTGTCAGATCATCAACAACCTTTGCTGCACCCCAGAGTGCTGCTCAGTGTCTCAGAACCTGCACAGAGCCCTGAAATCCTCTATGTCTGTACTTGGGGTGAGCTTCAGTCTTTTCATTTTCCAAATTGCCTCTGTGTTTATATTTACTGTTCATTTTGTCTCTGTTAAAAGTTTGCTGTATTCAACTGCTGGGATGGAACTCGAATTGTTCCCTCTGAAGCTGAGATTTGATCATCGATCAAACTCTCATCTCCTGAATAGACCTGACAGATGAGGCTGAGGCTTACTGGAACAAACCTCTGGTTCCTCTTGTAGGATTCAACTACGCCTCTTATAACGAACGTTATAAGGAAAATATTTATCACGGGTTCTCTTATTTTAAGGAAACATCTCTTCTGTGCAAAGTGAATGACAAAACACAACGAGTGAACATGACTCAGTGAGTTTAATTTGATCTAATAATAAATGAGATTGTTTATTTACAGAATCAAAAATAAATCACTAATGTACAGCTTATTGTGGAAAATCAAATTTCCTATAAAGAGTTGAAATCAACAACAATCAACACGCGTTTGAGTTAATTATCATCATCACTATGACAACTTTATCAGGTACAACAAACTTCAGGCTTAGATCTTAATAAACCAGTTGTTAGCAGCACTTAAGTTTTGGCAGGGCATTGGGTTTAGTTCAAGTTCAAGTTTATTTATATAGCGCCAAGTCACAACATACGTTGTCTCAGGGCACTGTGCATAAAAAGAACAATCTAAAGAAGAAACCAGCAGGCTGCATTGAATCACTTCATCACAGTCTCCCAACCTAAGCAAACGGTGGAGAGGAAAAACTCTCTGCTAATCAGGAAGAAACCTCCAGCAGAACCAGGCTCAGGACAGGAGACCATCTGCCTCGACCAGCAGGTTTAGGACAAAACAAAGGAGGATGAGGAGGTAGTTCTTAACCTTTTTTTTAAAGAATGTGGATTTTAACTAGAGGGCACGCGTCTCTCAACGACATCAGCCAGAAACCAGGTCCGCTGGTAACGAACAGCGTTACCTTGAACGAGGACAGGGTCACCCACCACGGTTCAAGTCGCAGGGAAGATTGTCCAGTTGATGAAGAGTCTCTTGGATCCTCACCCAGTTGAACACTTCCACAAGTGTTACTTTTCAGCATCTTCTGGCTCTGCTTCAAATCAGAGATCAGAGGCAAGGCTCTTCTGGATCTAGCTCACAAATAAAATACTTTTGCCAAGGAAGTTTCGAAACAAAGTTGCTTTGTGTGGCTTTGATAAGCTCGGGTGATAGACACAGAGGGTGATCTGCATCCAGGCTGTGAGGTTTCCCTTTGATCGGATGGGCAAAACCTCACAGTCCAGCACTGGTCCTCCACAAAGAGAAAACCAGCTGCTTCCTCGTCGAAGCACAAGAGTGTTCTGTCTCTTTAAATGGGCCTGTTAGAGGCCTGAGGTCAAGGACAGTTTTGCATGTTTATTTCACTTGGGGTGACCACAACACATTTCATGAAAAGGGGAACCATTATAATTCTGTCAATGGTACTGTTCCCAGTGTCCAGGTGGTGTTGCAACTGTGTACTGTATCAGCCCAACAACCTTCAGAGCCTCCTGGAACTCAGCTTCCTTCATGGAAGACAGATTGAAGTTTCTCAAAGTATTCCTTCCACCACCTGATGACATCACTGGTTGAGGTCAACAGAACCCATCCATCCATTTTCTTCCTCCTATCTGAGATCGGGTCACAGGGGCAGCGGCCTAAGCACAGAAACCCAGACTTACCTCTCTCCAGCCACTTGGACCAGCTCCTCTGGGGGAATCCTAAGGTGTTCCCAGGCCAGCTGAGAAACATAGTCTCTACAGTGTGTCCTGGGTCTTCCTCTGGGCCTCTTCCCAGTGGGACGTGCATGGAACACCTCACCAGGGAAACGTCCAGGACGCATCCTAACCAGATGAGCCACCTCAGCTGGCTCCTCTGGAAGTGGAGGAGCAGTGACTCTACTCTGAGTCCCTCCTGGATGACTGAGCTTCTCACCCTATCTCTAAGGGAGAGGCCAGACACTCTGCGGAGGAAACTCATTTTGGCCACTTGTATCTGCGATCTCATTCTTTCAGTCACTACCCAAAGTTCGTGACCAAAGATGAGGGTAGGAATGTAGACCGACCGGTAAATTGAGAGCTTCACCACGACAGATCAGTGGAGCGCCCACATCACTGCAAACGTAGCACCAATCCGTCTATCCATCTCCCACTCCATTCTTCCCTCGTTCATGAACAAGACCCTGAGGTCAACAGAACCCACCTCCACTATTTTGCATTTGCAAAGTGCTGCTTAACAAAACTGTCCAGTATAACTGAGTGTTTGATCATACTGTATGTGTACTTTCTCCTTCACAGGCTCTGCAGATCATGATTGGGCTGCTCAATATCGGCCTTGGTGTCATCCTCCATCAGTGTCATGCTGGTCCTTGGTATCTTTACGAAATAAATGGATTTCCTTATTGGCTGGGAGCACTGGTAACCAAGTTGATGCTACTTTATTTAGATTACTCAGAAAAGACACAAAGTGGGTCTTAAACTTATTATAGGAAAGCATTTCATTTTTAACAACTTTAGTTAAAAGTTATTCAACTGGTATTTAATTGCAAGATATCTGAAAAATGTTTCTTGACTCTAAAATCCATCCATCCATTTTCAGTAGCCACTTAATTGGTGTTCAGGGTTGGGAAGAACTTGTGCTTTTCTCCAACAATCAACCATTAGCATTGAGTTTTAATGGACAATTTAAACAACAAACTATTTGGATTTGCCTTCATGAGCTTTTACTTTAGGTTTTCTCGTGGTTCCTGAGTATTTTAGCTGTCCGCCTCACTAATTCAGGTACAAGATGTAGTTATTAATGATCAGCAGTGCTGGGATCCTGACACCAATACAGGCACAGGTATCAAGCTCAGTACCAGCCTCAAATACTCCAAGGAGGCAGCTGTGCAAACATATATAAAATATATCCATTTTTATGTAACAAGGCATTAAACTTGATAAATATGGCATGGTACGAGGGCCAAAATTAAGACTATTGCGCAACCAGAGGTTACTACATCCTTGTAGCAGGAGGCTATATCTATTCCTCAGCAGCTATTGATCTGATTAATGATAGGCTGACACCACTAACTGAGCAGCTGGCCCCGGTAACTGATAGGCTGACACTGGCAAATGACAGTAAATTTTGCAGTGTTAAATTAACACTTAAATAGTAAAATTTAACACTGTGTCCGAGTCTATTTGGTCCTTATCTGAACTGGTGTCAATTTAACTCTTTCCATAGTGTTAAATTTTCAGAGTACAATTTAACTCTAAACAGAGTTAAAAATTAACACTGATTAACACTGTACAGTGTTAGTAAAACTTAACACTGACTAACTGTACAGTGTTAATAAAACAACACTACAAGTCAAATAACTCTGAGAGTAATTATGATTCTAAGCAGAGTTAATAAGGTACTCCATTGTGGTGACAAATCAACTCTGATTCTCATATTTTTTGACACTGCATTGAGTTATTGATGGTTAACACTGGAGGTTCATATACCTCCTATGAGTGTTAATTTGACAATCTACAGTGTTGATTATTTACTATTTTGCTGTGTAGAGGGGTGTAAAACAGACACACAGCAAATTTAAAAGTGTTAGTTTAACACTTAAGAGTTAAGATCAACTCTTTTTAGTGTTGTATTAACATTAGCAAGCGGCCGAAATGGGTTTCCTCCGCAGGGTGGCTGGGCTCTCCCTTAGAGATAGGGTGAGAAGCTCGGTCATCCGGGAGGGACTCAGAGTAGAGCCGCTGCTCCTCCACGTCGAGAGGAGCCAGTTGAGGTGGCTCGGGCATCTGGTAAGGATGCCTTCTGGACGCCTCCCTGGTGAGGTATTCCGGGCACGTCCCACCGGGAGGAGGCCCCGAGGAAGACCCAGGACACGCTGGAGGGACTATGTCTCTCGGCTGGCCTGGGAACGCCTTGGAGTTCCCCCGGAGGAGCTGGAAGAAGTGGCTGGGGAGAGGGAGGTCTGGGCCTCCCTTCTGAAGCTGCTGCCCCCGCGACCCGACCCCGGATAGGCGGAAGAAAATGGATGGATGGATGGATGGATTAACATTAGCCTACACAGTCATTTCTGGATAAGTGGAGTTGACCTTCATGCACCAGGAAGTACCTCTCACTCATGGTGTCGATTGATGGCCAATAACACAAACTTAAACTTGAACAACTAACTAACCTGAACAAAACAACTAACTAGAACAAATAATTTTTACTCTCATGAACTTCATCATTTATACCAGATTACCCATAATTCCTTGCTGTGAAAATACTGGTCTGTCTGACATGAGGTGGAAGAAGGTGAGGCTTTTTCAGAACACTTTTTTCAACACTGCATGGTGTCATATAACAACACTGTTAAGTGTTATATAAAACTTAACAGTGGGCGGAGCTTATTTAACACTGTCCAGTGTTGAGACAACACTGAGGATATCAACACTGTGAATTAACACAAACACGGAAGTCAGTTTACTCAGAAAGTGTTAAAATAACACTAGGGGGAGTTAAATTGACTCAGAAAAGTTTAACACTGAAATTTTAACACTCTGGTCAGTGTGCATTGCCAATGCAATGCACACTATTGTGATTCGTTTCCCATCCAAGTCATCTCCACTTTGGCACGCTTCTCCTCCTGCAAACTTTGTCCTAGATCTGCCATTGTGATTTATTATGTAAAGCTCCTGTGCCAAATGATGGCTATGCCTTTTGGTGCAACTTATAGTTTTTGAAATATTAATATTTAATAAATTATAGTGAGAGTCAATGGACCTTGTATTGGTCCAATACTGCCCCCTGCTGTATCTACTCAGTATGGAACTGCACCATAGTTTAATACTTATATTTAATCTCAATTATTGCAGTGATTACAATATTGATATATATATATATATGTAATTTGATGTATTACTATATTATTGTCTTATAAGCATAAACATCTTGTATAATATTGCTCTACTGTTGTAATATTATGCAGTTCTTTGTCAACGATCRTCATTGGCAATATTGCCTCTTTCTACACACATAGAAAAAACAACACTGGGATTGTACTTTGTCCCAGCACCAATGGTCTTGTGGTTAATGCCACAGCCTTTCATGTGGGAGATCAAGTGTCAAATCCCAGCTACAGTAACTTTAACAAAAAGATTATTCAAACTTCATATTTTCACACAATTACCCTCATTACAAACACCTGCTGACAGCCACAAGCTGGTACTTGATTAGAAAACACATTTGAACTTGGTCAGTTCATTCTGCAAGTCCATTGCTGCAGGCAATGACATGCTACGAGGCAATGTACACTTGTTTTTACATCGTAAAAACCCATGCCTAGTTTTTACTGTAATTCATTTGTGTTAGCGTTATAGTGGCTAGCATGGATAAGCTGGCTTTAGCATCAGAGAGGCTAGCAACTAGCATGGATAATTTGACGTTAGCAGGCATTAGCACACAGCTTTAGCTACCTGCAGAATTAAGATAAGATAAGATAGAACTTTATCTATGTCACAGTGGGGAAATTTGAACATTACAGCAGCTCAAAACAGTGGAGTTGCAGTAACAGGCTGCCTGCCGTGGAGCCAACTTAGAAACAAAGAAAAACTGAAAAACACACAAGGGAAGGGAAGATGAGGAAAAAAGCCATTAGCATTAGCAGCTGTGTTTGCCCTTGTCTATTGGTCAACAAATAATGTGGTTCTAGAGCACTTGTTCACTTTATTGTAAATAAATTTACTTCATTATAAAATATGGAAATTCATCATTTAGTGCAAAATATTTAATGCGTGTCAAAGATAGAAAGTTGATGTATTTCTATTTTTTTCTAGTTCGTTTTATTTGGCATCATGTGCATTTTGTCTGAAAAGTTTCCAAGTCCATGTCTGGTGAGTTCAGTTTTATAATATTCAAACTTTTTTAAATGTCATGTTTTATTATCTTAAGAATAATCTAAATCAACATTTAATCAGTAAATTTATGAGTCTTCATTTTTCACAGAGAGCAACGTGGATAAAATGTGAACCTGTTTTTGTGTTTTTAGTTCATGAAACTCTCTAATATTCAGTTATTTCCTGTGGTGTTTTGTTTGTTTGTAGATAAAGTGACATGTTTTCTGTTTCAGGTCATCCTGAATGTAATTCTGAACATGGCTGGAGGAGCTTTTGCCATTGTAGCCTTTAGTTACTACATCTACACCTTAACAGAACCAGATTGGAGGAGCTCTGAATGGACACCTGAGTCAAGTTCTGATCAGTTCACACATCAGTTCACACAGAACGTACTGTCCACGGTGAGAATAACACAAAACTACAGAATACAAATAAACTTTTATTTTGTGATATGTTCATGTCTGGTTTTATCTTCTAGAATTTCTTCATGTTTGTTGTTGGTTGGATAATTTAAGGACGAGTTGTTTGTGTCCTGCAGAGCCTCCTGACAAGCATTAATGGAGTCCTAATTGTTTTGTCCATCCTGGAGTTGTGTGTTGTCATCAGTGCTGCAGTTTTGGGGATTAAAGCTAAGATGAGCTCAGAGAAAGAACCAGACAAGGTAAAAGACTTTTTGATGCAATGAATGTTGACTGAATGTGGAATACTCTAACCTCAACCTTTAATATAAACATGTGTTATTTTAATTCAAACGTTTTGTGTTTGAATCTTTTACTGGGATGATTCTGAAATGAGAAGTTGGTTTTTGGTTCAAATCATAAACAGAGTTTCTGATTTCTGTCCTTCAGGGTTCTGAGGACTCAGTCTGTTATGAACCTCTGGAGTGAGACGAAGTCTACAAACACCTTTCACTTCCCTAAAGCCCTGAATCACAGATCCACGGACGGTTTCACTTCATCAATAATCATTTACTTACATTCAGACCGTTTTTAATGTTGGGTGTGTGGTCCTGTGTTTTGTTGGTGTATATTTATCTTTCTATCTTTCTAATTACTTCTCTCTGTTTTTTTCTCTCTCTATTTTCTCTTCACTTAAAAGAAAAAAAGTCACCGATGATGAAGAAATAAATAAACTAAATAAACTAATATTTGGTTTCATTTTATACTGAAGTGACACCAAAAAAGACTGTTTTTAAATTTCTGTCCCTTTTCTAACTCTTCCTACAACAGGGACACACTTTTATTGTTCAGTTCAGATTTTAATCTATTTTTTAATTATGTTCCCTCTGATTGTTGAATAAAAGAAAAGTGTGACTTTAGTGGAGTTTTTGTTTGCTTTCACACAACATGTTAAAATATTTAAAAAATATCAACAGTCCTAAAATTATTTAAAGGAATGCTTATCACTCACCGCCTTTACTTTCAGAGTTTTAGACAAATATTTTGTCTTTTTGATCAAACCTTGATGTTAAAAGATGACATTCAGCTACTACCACAGTGAACAACTTGACATACAGCGGGTAAAATAAGTATTGAACACGTCACCATTTTTCTCAGTAAATATATTACTAGAGGTGCTAATGACATGAAATTTTCACTAGATGTTGGTAACAACCCAAGTGATCCATACATACAAAGAAATCAAACCATAAATGTCCAGAAATGAAGTTATTTGTAATAATGTGGAATGGCACAGGGAAAAAGTATTGAACACACTTACTGAAATTTATCTAATACTTTGTAGAAAAGCCTTTGTTGTCAATGACAGCTTCAAGACGCCTCCTGTATGGAGAAACTAGTGGCATGCATTGCTCAGGTGTGATTTTGGCCCATTCTTCCACACAAACAGTCTTCAAATCTTGAAGGTTTCGTGGACCTCTTCTATGAACTCTGATCTTTAGTTCTTTCCATAGATTTTCTGTTGGATTCAGGTCAGGTGATTGGCTGGGCCATTCCAGCAGCTTTAGTTTCTTTCTCTGAAACCAACTGAGAGTTTCCTTGACTTTGTGTTTGGGCTCATTGTCTTGCTGAAATGTCCAGCCACGTTTCATCTTCATCATCCTGGTAGATGGAAGCAGATTTTTATCAAGAATGTCTCTGTACATTTTTCCACTCATCCTTCCTTCAATTATTTGAAGTTTGCCAGTACCATATGCTGAAAAACAGCCCCACACCATGATGTTCCCACCTCCAAACTTCACTGTTGGTATGGTGTTTTTGGGCTGATGTGCAGTGCCATTTGACCTCCAAACATGATGTGTATTCTGGCATCCAAACAGTTCAATGTTGGTCTCATCTGACCAGACTATATTCTCCCAGTATTACACAGGCTTGTTTAAATGTTGTGCAGCAAACTTTAAAGGAGCTTCAACATGCTGTTTCTTCAGCAGTGGAGTCTTGTGTGGTGAGCGTGCATACAGGCCATGGTGGTTCAGTGCATTACTTATTGTTTTCTTTGAAACAATCGTACCTGCTAATTCCAGGTCTTTCTGAAGCTCTCCACAAGTGGTCCTTGGCTCTTGCACAACTCTTCTGATAATTCTTTTCACTTCTCTGTCAGAAATCTTGTGAGGAGCACCTGGTCGTGGTCGGTTTATGGTGAAATAATGTTCTTTCCACTTCTGAATTATGGCCCCAACAGTGCTCACTGGAACCTTCAGAAGTTTAGACATTCTTCTGTAACCGATGCCATCATTATGCTTTGCAACAATCAGGTTGTGAAGGTCTTGAGAGAGCTCTTTACTTTTACCCATCATCAGATGGTTCTTGTGTGATACCTGGCCATCATTTGGGACTGAACCAGCTGATATTAACTTGCACTGACAAGGGGCAGGCTTGCTTTCTAATTACTGAGAGAGTTCAGCTGGGGTCTTGGCTTTCCATGTCTTTTTACACCTCCCTTTCTTCATGTGTTCAATACTTTTTCCCTGTGCCATTCCACATTATTACAAATAACTTCATTTCTGGACATTTATGGTTKRWTTYYTT